CTCGGACGTGTGTCTAAGCCAGTGAGCAAGCCAGGAGGAGCTAGAGCAGGATTTCACTCTGGATTTGGGCTGGGGCTTTGAGATCTGCTGCTTGGATTTAAGAGCTGTGGTTTAATAATTCCCAAACTCAAGAGGAAAGCCCAGATTCATCTGTGTGTGTTGTCCCGTCCAGTGATTCTTGTGATTGTGGTTCACATGTGCTTCCAAGTTATCCCCATGCAACATTTAGCTTGCTTTCTGTCTTCTGCTTTGTAATCCCTCTAGCTCTTTTTGTGGAGATCTCTGCAACAATTTGAGATTAACTTGGAACTTTCTGGGAGTAAATCCCTGTATTTTATCTGTATGTTTTATGTACATTTGCAGATTATTTAAATTATTTTGAAATCCTCAAATATATCTGGTGTATATATCTGTATATAAATATATCTGGCATATACAGCACTGGAGAAAAGTTTGAGCAGAGATTGACGTATTCAGCAGTAAATTTAATTCTGGACAAAAGCATAGAGACCAATTCTGCTGCTTTTACAATGCTCAGTGATGTTGTCCCAGGATTAGTGCAGCTCCTCGGGGTCCCTGTGAGGATTATGGCAGAGTCAGGCCTGCGCCCAGGCGTGGCAGCGATAAGACAAGGCCTCTTAGGTCATCTGGTCTGTAACTGGAAGAATATCCACTGCAAATGTGAGTGTTTTGCTGAATTCTACGTTAATAGCATTTCTGTGTTCTTTGGCTGATCTGTAGGTCACCTTCTAACCTTGAAATTACATACTGTGTGCATTTTTCAGCAGAAGAGAAATTTCTGTTTGACGCTAAAGAACTTCTTTTAAACAAGTTATTTTTCAGAGCACTGCCATGAAGGTTATAGATGATTTTCTTGAGCATTCAGCCTGACATTGTTTTGCTTTCTGAACATTATACTTTTATACTTATGTTTTAATTTTGGGTAAAGTAAGCAATATTTGTCTTATTTCTGTTGGCAGAAGGAGAGTCTACTCGAGAAGTCCAATCTCAGAAAGAGAACAGTTTGTTACCTATTGTTCATTGCTGCTGAGACCCTCCTGTGAGCATCAGTATTAACATCTGTGTGAATGTGGGCCTTGAAACGTCATCCTTTGATTGTTGACCACGTCCTTTCTTTTATTTAACTTTAATTAATTTTGGGGGGTAACCAACCTGACACCTGTTTCTGCAGTGATGGGCTTTGATACTAGCTTGTGCTACAGCAGAATAGCTTCGTTTACTGTAGGGGGCTGCCCAAAATGTGTTTTCATGCAACTTAAGACAATGACATCTGACTCTTCTCATGATGACTGTTAGTAGGTCTTGGACCAATGCACACTTTCTTTTTTTTTTTTTTTTTTTTTTTTTTTTAAGGTAATAAGCTCCATGAAGTACCCATCTATGACAATATTTCTGTCAGAGATTGTGGTCTATGCGGGGGATACTTGTCCCCTGTCTCTCCTTCTGGAGCAGGGACATACAGTAACCTTCTCTGGTCTCCAGTGCTTAGAAGAAGCTGGCTGTTCTAGTGGATTCTTCTGGCTGTGCCCTCCCACGCTGGCCTTTGTTTTCCAAGATATCTCTTTCCTACTTTCTTACCAGCCCATTTTGTAGTTATCCCATCCTGCCTATAAAACCCTCTTTTATAAATGTAAATAACATCAAAGATCTGTTCATCAGCAAGCATCCAAAAGCAACAGAGATGGAAATAATTTGGGAAGCAGCTCAAACCTCTTCCATCGTCTCCCCAGACGTTCTTGCAACCTGGAGGGGAAGGCAGGGAGCAGCTCGGTTTGTGAGCAGAGGCTTTGCAGCCACAATCCAGTGCTTCCATTTCTAGAGCTGCTGTCCAGCCTGGGTGATGCTCAGCTGGGTACTGGAAGCTGCAGTGGGGTCACTTTGTCAGCTCTGCCCCTGGAGCCTCCCTTCTGTGCTCTGGTGTCACTGCTTGTGCACTGAGACCGTGGAAGGAGGATGCTCCTCTGCTGCCCTGCTTGCTTCGGTGGGGTACTGAGTGATCCAAAGTACTGAGTACTGCATTGCTTTCCTTGTTGTGTTCCTTACGTGGCTTGGGGAGACCCAGCCCACCCTCTGGTTTCACCCTCTTCAGAACTCAAAAAAAATTATTTGATGGCAGGAAAGAAAGCTTGGAAAGCTGATTGCTTTTGTTAGCAGGGTGCATCCACCCCCTGGGGTTTTGTGAAAGCTGTAAGTGGTCACACAGTGGCTGGTGGTGCCTTGGCACGGTGGGCTCTGAAGTGGAAAGGTAAATTGGGTGTCTTATGCATGGTTGTACGTGCAGAGGCTGTCATACCTGGCTGTCCCTGAAGGGAATCTTTCTGATTTTAAGGGCCTGAACTATAGGCACTCTTAGCTGAGCTTTAATGTGTGTGAAGTCCCTGATTTTATTTTCCTGTGCTTGTATCTTGGAAATGGAAATTTTTGAATACATCCTCTTAGGGCAGTTAACTCAATCAACTTAATTTTGTTCTCCTAGGATTGTGAAGACATGTTCAAAGGCTATTTTGTGTAAGAAGTTGATTTCTTCATTGTGTTTTTATTGATGCGTCATTCCGGAGATTGAAGATACCTACACAGTAACTCTTCATTTGTCTAGCAGGGTACAATCTGATTATATGCTTCAAAATGTTTTCTTTCAGGTATTTTTGGACACTGATACGGCTGAGTCTGTGGTTTGGTCATTCCTGTAGCCACTGCCTGTGCTTTTCTTTTTTCTTGTTAAAAACATGCAGTTCCTGTTTTTCCTTCCTATTTGACATTCCCTAACTGTCCTTTCTTCTCATGCCTCCACACATTAAAGGCTGAACATAAGAGCAGAAACCCAACTCATTCTGCCTAGCCACAACCACCTAAATTGGACATCTGATTTAGAACTGTATGAGTCTGCCAGAGTAGTCAGTGACAAGAGCAAGGGCCCTACAAAAAGAGGGCTACTCAACCTGATTCAGATACATCCCTAAGCACTGGATGCATAGTAGTGCAAGGATGGTGTCATTTCTATTTCAATCTGTAAAGTTAACTTAAATAATCTCCTTTACTTCCATACTTTGAAGAGGAGATGAATCCAACCCTTGGCATGGTTTTCTTCAATTTTCTTTTATCCTTGAGGAAAAGGAGGCTGCAAGAATTTCTCATTACAAATACAGCATTATGTTCAGTCCCTTAAAATACCAGTCAATTGATTTGAAATTGTTCTATGATTACTAATTAAAAAAAGCAAAAACTGATCTACTGAATGATTTACACTAAAATGTGTTTTCTGAGGGGTAGGGACACTTTGCAGGTAGATTTATGGTTTTCACCATCTGTTTTAACAAATGAGTCAGCAGAGCATTTCAAAATAACCTTCGGTTATACCCATGAAATGTGAGTTTGAATGTTCCAAGTGAATTACCGGCATGAGAGTACTAAAAGTACTTTTTTTCTGGAAATAGTGTTTTACCAGTTGTTTAGATGCTCTTGCTTTTATTTGTATGGAAATATGCCAATATGCGTTAATGTAGTGATTCCACATACCCGAAGCTTTCGACACAGCAGGACTTTTCATGGTATGGTAATGTAGGCAGGAGTATTGTTGGTTGTCCTTGCACACTTTTTTTTTTTTTTTTTTTTTTTGAAAAATATTGGATGAGTATTTTGTTCTGTTGCTTTTTGCTTGAAAAGGAGTTAATAAAAGTAAATGCACCAGAAGAAATTCATGGAATCAGTGAACAGATAAAATGTTACTATTTGAAATGCATAATGCTGCATAATGGGTTTATATAAAGAGTGGCAGAGATGAAGTGCTCTACAGACATAATGAAAGAAACATGGATTCCTGCTTCCATAATTGAAGTTCTTTTGTATTGATCTGTTGGGAAAGAATAGCAGGATTTTTGAACAGATTTGCTTTCCATTAGTAAATATATTTATCTGTAGCTCCGGATACTCAGCCAAGTTTGAAAAAAGAAAAGTTGGAAGGAGGATGCATTTTCTTTCATGATAATTAAATGTTATGACTGTAGATTTTTACCTCCAGAGTAAGTAAAGTTTATCTGCATTTAAAAAGTTTTAATTGCTTTCATACTTTACCGGAATTGCACAGAGACAAAACGTTCTTAACATGCAGAGTAGGAAAAAATGATATAAATACATTATATTCCATCTTTCTTTTTTAGAGTGTAACAGACTGTTACTGATGGCTTGTAGAAGTACTTGCCACTAGTGGTCTGAAGACAGTTGCACTGTTTTTGTTCCTTAGATTAAGGATTTGAGGTTTGGGGATCTCATTAATCCTGGAACACTGGCAGAGGGATGAGTGCCAGCCTACATTTCAGGCTCAGGTCAGCTCTGCAAGGTGCCACGCAGAAATACAGGAAGACTTGGAGCTCTGCTAAGTTCAGTCTGGTCCACTGAGTGCTACCAAAATGTAAATAATAAAAAAACAGCATTGCTCAATAATTAATTCCTGCTCTAAACTCTTGACCTCTCTGGCAAACCAGGAAGTCCTGGAAGTTTTATTTTTCTCAGTTTGTACAGCTTCATTTCTCTTGGGAATTCAGCCCCACGTATCTCTACAGGGCAGTGTAACTACTGGTAAAGGTTGTTGGCCGTCCTCTGCCAGTCCCTCCGAGAAGCAGAACTGTGACAATCCCATAGGTAAACATTAATGCAGAGGCACCTGCTGTATATGCTGTGTTCTCTCAGCCATCTCCCAAGGCGCACGTAATGGTTATTAACAAAACTGCACTTGTTTTAAAGGAGCTGACAGCTTTCTAGGCTTTGATGGGAGAGCTTTGCTTTTGCTTAGAAATAAAAAGGAAAGCTTTTCCCCGTTTATGTTTGAAAGGGCTTTTCTGTAATTTTGTCATCATGGGTTTCCCCTTAGAGGTGATGGATTAAAAGATCTTTTTCCCCTCCCTTTTTCCCTACTTCTGTATTACAGAAATGGCATCTGACATTCCTGGCTCGGTGGCTTTGCCGGTGGCACCAATGGCAAGCGGACAGGTGAGAATGGCAGGATCCATGCCTTCCAGAGGAGGAAAGCGCCGCTCTGGGTAAGCCATTTCCCTTTTTTCAGTGCTGAATGGAAACTATTTGTATTGAACAACTGGAAATATACATGTGTTTGTATCTTTATTATACACTGTTTATATAGGTAAACTGTGTTATGGCATTAGTTGCTGGTGTTTTGCTTTTCTTTTCAACGTATCTGCTCTTACTGCAAGATCAAACTTGCTGATAGGAGTGGTGTTTGTTGCTTTGCACACTTCAAAGGACTTTGGGATTTGGCAAAGCATCCAGAAACAGAGTTTGGGTCCCATGGCTGTTTTTTGTGTAATGCTTGTGTGCTGCCTATGTCTGTTTAATCTCAAAAGCATTTATCATTTGAATAAAGGTAATAAGATGTGTTCTTACTTGTACATGCCGACTTATCCAGCTTCATCTGAAAATTGGACCTGGAATCTCTCAAATAAATGCCTTCTGTTAATAATGTTTTCTTTATAGTCCCAGATACAGAAATAGCACAAGTAGTTTCTCTGTTCAGAGTTTGTGGTGTATGATATCCTAAACTTCATGGGAAATGCTGCGTAGTCTCCCCAGGTCTGGGAGAAAGGGCCTGAATCGAGTTCCTAACCTAGATGAAGGTTCTGCTAAAGAAGAAGATTTGTTTTATCCAAATATAAAGGTTGGCATGGTGTAGCCATAGTTTTTCCACATCACATTGTTCCATGGCAGCTGATAGTAATCTTCTGTATTAGAAGAAAAACATATCAAGAGATGCAGAAGAGCAGAAAAACACTCTCTAATACTATCAGAAATACCAAAAATCCTGTTTGTTTGTTTGTTTTTTCCTTAACAAATGGTTGATTGCAAGTAATGTTGATTCTTTCCCTGAGATACCTCTGGTAAAAGTATGCCTGCAAAAGAGATTGGTTAGTATTATCCTTAGCCCTAAATATTACGGTGGTAGGACTTAACGGGATCGATAGTGTGAATAAAATCTTCACTGAGAAGACCTGATTCCCCGTGAGCGCTGCCCTAGGGATGGCTGGCCAAGACGTGCTGCCCATTCTGGGTGCCTGCCCAAGTACTGGTGCTGGAGTCTCGTTCCTGGAACAGTTTGAGAGAGGAGAACGTGGACCTTGCCTTGGATGCAGAAATGAGCTGGTGTGAGCTGAGCACTTGGGGCGTTTGCTCTGAGGGAGCTTCTTTGGGCAGGACAGTTTGGAGGTTGTTCCCCTTGGAGTGTGCTTCCGTATGCTGAGCTAACTGTATAGAACCGCTCTGAAAAATTCCTGAAATCTGTTTTTAACAGCCCTCCCATTTTTAATTTGAAACTGTTCAGTGAAAAAGCCTTTTCAAAGTTGCCCTCAGAAGAGAAAACAAAGCATTAACATATTTTTATTGCTCCATGGCTTGTATAACCTTCTGTGCTTTTGAGTTGCAGGATAGTTGATCTCTTTTTTGATCATAAACCATGTCAACTCCGAATACAAGTTTGCAAATTACTGTTACCAAGGGCTGATGCTGCTGACTGTGAAATCTTCTGATTATATTAAATCCTGACTTGATATTAATTGAAAGCTCTGCTTTAAATGTTGCATTTTAAATATCGTCAATCTATTTGCAAGGAACCGGAGTGGGGGAGGATAGGAAGAACGCAAAACCAAATGATTTCAAATGTATTTAATATGCAAATTCAGTGAATAAGATAGTACAGATTTGCTGTTATATCCATACTGTGGTACTTTATCTGTGCACCGTAGCTCTAAACTAATAACCCTTCTTCAAGCCTGAGCCAAGGGTGCGTTTTTTTTGTTCAGTGTGTACATATTCAGGCCTGGAGGGAAAGAATGCCTGCTGTGTCTAATTCCTTGAAGCTTCTCTTTGAACAAAGTTGCAGCTAACACTTGGTCCTTTCATTACTGTCCTGGCGATATATCTTTGTACACCTAAATCCTTGGGCATTTTAGAAATGAATGCTTTGTGTCAGACATAAAGGAATATAGCTCATGAACACAGTCAGTCTTTTCTAGCTCCAGTTATCTCTGAAAATTGTTTCTTTTCTCATAATTGCTGAGGCAAGCTGGCAGAATAATTGCTGTATGGACTTGAATGTAGATCAGTTTAAACTCATTGGCTATCCAGGAGGTGTTCTGTGGTGCAGGCATTCAGCTTCACTGACAGCTCAGAAAAATATTTTTCCTTTCTATAAATTATACCAAGCACTCCATAGAAAAAAAGTGACAGCCTAGTAGTGCATAAGAGAAAACATCGCTGTGATCAGTAACTACTGAACATAAAGCGAAGTCTTTATGTTTAAGGTAGAGGATAAATGGTGCTTTTTTGCCCTCCTTGGTTATCTGTACTTGGGGAGGAAGGGCTGTTTTTTTGTTTGCTTTTACAGAGGCATTGGTTTTGTTTCAGTTCAGCACATGGTCTTGCTGTTTCTCAGGCACAGAATGGGGAGATCTGGGGAAGAAGAGACCACAGCCAGCAATCTCTCTCCCTGGGTGCCCCTGTCTTGCACCGAACAAAGGGCTGTAGTGCAGATCCTCATCCTTATCTCAGCAGCTCTGCCCCATCATTCCTACCTGCCCCTTCCTATACCAAATAATCGTGGCAAGCCATCTTTTGACACTGCTTGGGATTTTTACGTAATTATTTTGTTGTGTTCAAATTCTCTGCCATCTCATTTTTTAACCTGTGCAGAACCACCTTGCATTGTGAATTGTTTTATTGTATGAAAATGTTCCTAATTAAAAATCAGTAATAAAAAATATTTTGTCACATTATTTATGTTACCCACACATCTTTTGAGGAAAATATGTTTTACTTAGTACCTCGTACATCAGATCTTTTCACAATTGATGAGAGCAGTGTGAAAGAGGAAAATAAGACTTATGCTCCCTCCTCAAAACAAAAGAGCACAGTGCAGTTCTTTTTTAAAGTCTCTTTTTAATGGGAATTTTAAATGAAGATAAGATACTCTTTCAGAAACTTCTGAAATGATGTCATTTGTCTTCTTCGAGGTTGCTTCAATTGCTTTGGTACTGTGCAATATATTCTATCTGAACAGAAGATCTTATCTGCCAGGGTATGGGGAGTTTGTTGGAATATTATTTTTGTGTGTTCTGCTGTGTTCAGCTAAAGGTTGCAGCTGATTCCTTACCTTTCACTTTGCCTTACTACAAAGCAGATGGAGTGGTTCTGGCAGGAATTTAGAATCACTGACTTTAAACCTGAGGGTGTTTTTTTTTTCAGACTTTTAGAGGATTTTTTTTTTTTCATTTTGCACAGTGAAATGTGAAAGTGGGAAACTTATTTATTAACAAAGAGGGGGCAGATATATTTGCATTTTTACAAGTATTGACATTTTCGTGAACTACATGTTCAATTTCTTCTTTTTTTATATTATTGCATTTGGAAAGAAGTCAAGATTTTTTGGTAGTTGAACAAAGCAAAGGTGTTATTTAGAGATTTAGTATGCTGCAGTCTGGCATTGCACCCTAGACAAAGAGTTTCTGCAGTGATGAGCCTACTATGCATATGGTAGGGGTTACCTATGGGTATTAACCCATCAAGATCTTATGAGATGAGAAGCTGATAGCCAGCCATTTGGGTAAGAAGGGAGTAAGGAGTAAGTGGGACTATGCATTGAGCATGGGCAGCAGGATCGAGCCTTAAACTGTCATCAGGCTCTCTGTAATTCTTGGTATTATATTCTGGTAATAATAAAACAGTCTAAAGTGCAGCAGAGACAATATTTGATTTTTGAGGGGAAAATCCATTTCTTAGCACTCAGCTAGAGTATTTGGCGGGAAGCTAAGAAAATCTACTCCAGTATGGAATCCTAGTGTATTGGAGAGGAAGAAAAATGAATTAAAAAAATATTGCATCCCAAATTTAAGCAGGGTCTTACTACATCTCTGGGGAAAAGTCTTTTCCCTGTAGTATGGCTATGTATTTTTTTCTGCCCATGTTCCCTACGCTTGAAACTCCAGCTTTATCTCAGTTGTGTTTTCAGTTGCCAGTGAAACTAGGGAAGGATATACCTGATGTGATGATTTTGCAAGTTGTTCTAGCTGCAGCCAGCCCAGTGCCTGCCTGAGTGTGTGCTTTACTTAAAATGAAACAGCTCTCACCTAACATTGACTTTCACATTTTTGGTGTAAGCAGAAGCACTGTGAGCGAAATAACCCAACCCCAAAGTTGGTTCTGGGCTATTGTATATACACATCTATGTGCATAAAGGCACACTGCTATGTGGGGAAGAAGCAGGTAGGTAAGAGGACAGCTTCAACAAGATGATAATGCACAAATGTTAAAATACAATTAGTGCTGCTGCACGTCTGAGGAAATCCAGGCTGTGGATGCCAGCACCAAAGGCCACGTTTGGGTCTAGCAGCACATCGCAGGGTCCTCCTGGCTTAGTGCTTCTGCACAGGAGATGTCGCTGGCCGCTGGAGGTCGGTGTTGTTCTGTGCAATGCAGCTGAGAGGTCACTGGCAAGGGAAGTGATTTAGAAACTGGGTTTGGTGATAATTAGGTGAGCAAGAATGTAATTTATAGTGACAATGATGATTGCATCAAACAACCAAATTAAATGTGCATCTCTTCTTAAGACTCTTTTGGGAAAATGGTTTTCTCCTTGCTTCCTTTAGAAATGAATAATCACTATTGCCATCTGGAAAATATTACTCTGTCTTTTCTAATACCATTTCCAATTCCTGTGCTTATTTGCTGCTCATGTCCTGATTGTACGTAGATTGCTGTGAGTCAGATGTATCTTTGATATCAAAATTAGGAAGCAAGGCTGTATTGTCTAACTGGAGCACATTCTGCTGTATGTTTGTGCAATTTTAAAGACTATTTTTACACCACTGATTCCATACTCTGTATGTATGTCTTAATTTTTAATTGGAAAGTAGTGGTGTGGTTTTTTGTTTTGTTTTGTTTTTTTTTGTTTGTTTTTTAATATTGAGTTAAATATTGTCACTTTTCAGGGTTTTGCCTTTAATATGACATGTATCTATTGTTAACATGAAGTAGTAGATGCATCAAAATTTTAATTATATAAATTGTATTATATTACACTGAAATGCTAGAAAGCTTCGAGTGTGAAGAAACCCAACAAAACCATTTGCAAAAAAACCAATGATTTCCTATCTACATGAATTACATTTATGTGACTGCTCAAGTCTCTGCCATACTAACATAGCTTCTTATTAAAATAAGTACACTAACACAATAACTTGTATATGGTAATTTTATATCAGATGGTTCTTAGTCTGACATAATGCCAGAGTCGCCCCCTTGTAATCGGGATATCTATTTGTCTCCCTCTTCTTAGGGATACAAAAATGTAAAAAAATACTTTGTAAAAAGCTTTGTAGTGACAATATCAACAGGAAGGAGGTAATCATGCTGCGTAGTGTAGGAAAGTAATCTAGGTGACTAATTTAGGAGGTTAATCTTCCTAGTGTCTCTGTGTAAAGTGAAGAAAGAGGTTCTTGCATTTTATGGCTCCCTAGAGCATCCTAACTGGAGGGCTAGGATTTGGCCCAAGGAAGAGCTCATCTCTTTTACTTAAGAAGAAGGTCTGGGACATAAAGCAGGTAAGTTGGGGGCACAGTAGACCCACAGGTCATTTTAATATGGCCTAGGTAAGGTATACTACAAAGTAATTGCTGTCTACAGCCAGGTAATTGCTACCTACAGCCTGGTTGGTAATTCATGTGAAATTACTGGTGATATAGGACAGGTCTAAGAGTGTGCCATGGTTATGATCAATAGAGGTGAAATACATAATCTTTTTGGCGAAGAGGCTGGGAGTTCATACTGCTCTACCTTTAATTTCTGTAGATTTCTATCAGGCCTGTGAGATATAGCACTTCTGGCTGTTTCACAAGAATTGCATTTGTTTAATATTTCCTTTTATTTGTTGATTTTAGCAGTGTGGATTTTTGTGTATCAGAACAGGGTGTTGTTTGTTTTTTTTTGTTTGTTTCATTCTGGTGGTGGTGGTTGTTGGTTGTTTTTTTTTTGTTGTTTTTTAACTTGTGTTCTTTGTATTCCTGGCAGCTAATAAGCTACTTTTAGGGGGTCTGGAGAGTATGAGCAAGACGAGTCTACAGCCATCACTACCCCCAGTCAAAATATATATCAAACAAGATTGCGAACCATTGACTTGAATGTTCATGTCGCCATTGCCAATTTCATTATTACATATTTGGAAATCTTGCTTTTACAGAATGGATTTCGATGATGAAGATGGGGAAGGGCCCAGCAAATTTTCAAGGTGAGCCTTTATGAAGAGTTGGCCAAATTTCTTACTTTTTCAGTGGAGAAAGACAGCTGTCCCACTACTGCTGTTTTATAGTCTCTGTGGATATGGGCTGAAGAAATTGCCAACAGCTTGACCTAAATTCTAGTTACAGTTTACCAGCTTCCTCTGCAAATTAGGCACACTGGCAAAAATCTGCTTAATGTAGTTATTGGCTTACAAAGCTGACAGAATGTTTGTGTCATAATTTCACTCTGCAGCTAAAAATCACAATTTTTCTCATTTGACATAGCTTAGTATTTCAACTGCTGTAAATGAATTTTGATAATTTGACATTGCTGAAGTTGTCTTTTTGCCACTGAAAAAGAATTTTATTTCAAAATTAGTTCAGATACTAACTACTTGTTAAGACAATCTGACAGATCCTAGAGGCATGGGTTGTTTTTTTAAGATTAAAGGTCATTATGTACCATTAGGTGTAACTGAATAGTAGGAATTGCCAAAATAAATGTTAAAGTTAATGTGGAATATTCTATGCTAGAAACAAAAACAAACATCAAAGCATCATTGCCATTTTTCACTTTTCCTTTTGTTCCAGTCACGCTGTTTGCATTTTTTCATTAGAAACCAAGTGGCTGCACTGAGAATAGATCCTGTGAGGCCTACGGATAACTGCTGATCATTCAAATTGTAATTGCAGCTATATAGCAGCAGCCATATTCAAGCACAGGGTTTTAACAGGATGTGTTGCAACACCATAACATAACCTCCTGGACAGGACCAGCAGCACACAAGTTGAGCTGGTGTCTTTTACACAAAGAATATTCCAGTCTGTGGCATCAAAACTCCTGGTCTGAGGGCTAGTCTAACGTTTGGTAGAAGATGTGTTTAAGGGTACAAGATTACTAATTAATATGATCTGATTTTTGTCTGCATAAGCATGAGGGTTTCTAGGCACAGTTGCGCACATGAGTTGGTCTTTCTCCAGCCTTGCTTCAGCCATGGGTTGTGGGGAAAGCCAATATTTCCATTATTTTTATTGGAGAAGTATGGTGTAGAGTGCGTAAGACTCTCTGATTTTAGATGCCAGATCAAAATATGATATTTAAATCTTAAATGATGTAAAAACAAACAAACAAAACAGATTGTTCTGCTTTTAGAGAGGGTACAGAAAAACAATGTAGAGATGCCCAGGGCCACGTGCAGACATCCTCTTCTGGCCATGGTTGACCTCTCAAGGAGATGTTATTTTTAGTTATCCTCCTTCTAGGACTTTTTCCCTTCTCCAAGCTGCTCACATAACTGATTCATAGCTTGTGTTGGCCAAAACTAGTTAGTTAGCAAAGAATTGCTTTTTACAAGTTTAAGCTAACCCAGCTTGCCTTGACTGAAGTACCTCACTAATGCACTCGTAGAGGTCAGCTGGGAGACTGGAAGGGAGAAAAGAGTAGCTGGAGGCAACAGCATCTTCAGCCCAGCCAGCCAGACCAGAATGAGTAGGCAATCCCTAACCTAGCAGCAGCACTAGAAGTAGTGGTGTTAGCATGGTGCTCCATGTGTGTTAACACACCTTGCTTCTCAGGGAGTTCCAAGGCAGCTCAGGTACCTGCATGACTTCTCACTGTCACCTGGAGACACATGCATGGACTTCTCACCTAATGGCATGTGGCCATTCCTCATTGAATCTGTATTGTTTAAAATTGTTCGAGCACAGTATGTTCTCAGGGCAGGGTCAAGTGGAAAAAAGTAACATTTTCACTTGAAGGTTTTGAGGGTGTTAGTGCTAAAACAATGTAGGAAGGAATGCAGCTCAAGTCTCACTTAAGCTTTGTCATGAGAGTTTGAATCAGTGAGGAAGGAAAATATGAAGGCTCATAGAGGAACTTGCACATTTGTGGTACTTAAAATTACTTTTAACTCATTTCAGATGATAAAAAGTTAATTATTAGGTTTTAGAAGAGAAAAGATGCTTAGTTATGCTGTGTTTCCTTATCAAGTAATAAGTGAAAGCTTCATAGGCTCTCTGCAGTAATAAATGACATTGTTTTGGAAAGACATAATTCTAATGCAAAATCTTACCGGTCTGTTCTTAACCAGTGATACTCTTCACTTGTAGAAAACCCATTAGTGCCATTAGTGCTTTTTTTTTTTTTTTTTTGTATTTTCAAAAACGTACTTTTTCTGTTTTGGAAAAAAGCATTTTTGGTTTCTTCAAAAGTAAGATATTTGTTTTCAAGATGCAAAAAATGCATCTTTTTGTAACTACTTTAGCAAAATCTAATTTTGAAGGATTAGTATGTTTTTAGGGAAGGGAAAGGAAAAAGAGCATGTCATTTTTTAGTAAAACATCATATTGGTGCCATCTCTGGAATAGCACTTCAGAAGCAGTGAAAATTCAATCCTGTGGGGCTGAAGTCCCATTGATCTGGATTTCCTCCGTACAGTTGACAGTGATACACCACGAGTACCTGTTTGGGCATCTAACTTCTGTTGATTTGGGAGGGAATGAGATAACTGTTTACTTCTAGATCTTTATGCCAGTTTTAATTTCACTTCTATTTACCTAGCAGTTTCATCTGCCTGACAGTCTTGCCAACAGATGGTACATCATAGATACCTACCAGAGCTTTTTTCTGAAGGCATCCCTATATATTGCATTGCACTTAAGTGTGTGTCTGTGCCCTCCCATGTTATCTGTAGACCATCAGTGCCCTCTACTGAAAGGAGCGAGTTGTGGTTGCAATCTGGGAAAGATACAGCTCATTCACTTCCAACACAGCAATGAATATTTCATGGGCTGCTGCTGATAGAAGCTCAGTGGTGTTTTCCGTAATGGTGCTGGTTGTTAAGTTTCCCAAGCAATAAGTGTATGTCGGAGTGTCTGCATAAATCCACTGAAATACGTCTTCAACTTGTTTTAAATGTACAAATGAAGTTTTTGAATCAGCATGGCTTGGAAGTTTCATTAAACTCCACATTTTCTTTGCTTTATTATTTTCATGCCCTCATATTTCTTGCTGTTATTTGTAATAGTTTGCAGTTGTGAACCTCTTTGCTTTCTGCTGTGTGTTGACTTTAGTGCAATGTATAACCCTTGTAAATTTACTTGCTATCTTTTGTTTATAGGTATGATGGTGATCAAATCTCTGGTGATAAGGAAAAGTTTGCAAGGTAGGCGTGTTCCGTAGAGATCTTCTGCTGAGAGAAAAGAGGGGAATGGTCATATCCAAAACATCTCAGTATTTGTGCGTTAGCTTAGAGAGCTGGTTATTTTGTTTCTAGGTGGGAAGATGATCAAAGTACTGCTGACACAGAAAGGATGGCCAGGTATGAAAAAGGAAAATCTAAAATGGTTTGCCCCCATTTTTATTTTATATGATGCAGTTCTGACTGTCAGAAGGGTTGACTGATCCAAAAGTGCTTGAAGTCAGAAACACTAACGCTGGACCAAAGTGGGTTTGGATCAGCTCCCACAATCTCCAAAAATGTAATGTGCCTCCAAAACATCCACACAAAAACAAAGCTGGAATTGACAGAATTAGGACATCATCCTGCACATGTTTATGAATGCCAGGGTTCCCTGGGCAGGCCCTTTTGGAAAAGGAGCACAGCCCATCTTTTTCTTTTAAGGGTTTAAATTTGAACTAGTTTCAGGAAAGTTTCAGGGTTTTTGTTTGGTTGAACTTTTTCATGGCCAATTGGTTAACATACTAATACTTTTTAGCTTTTATGATCATAAACGAAATAAATGGACTATTGGATATTCTTCTCTTTCTTCTCAGGAAGTCCTGCAGTCTGTTTACTCCTTATAATGGTTGTTTATAATGATCATTAGTATCAAAATACTTTAGTGGCAGACAATGAAATATGTATTTATAAATGTAAAATATGTGTTGAATGTGTGTTCTTTGTCTCTCTTGTCTCTCAGCCACCATTTCTGAGAAAATGCTGAACTTAGACCAAGCTTTCATCGTGTAAAAATGCATTTTTCTTCCCCTTGTCTGTATTTATCGTCATGTAATAAAGACTTGAACACACATGCTCTTACGTACATGCACACTGTCACACAAGATGTTCTACTTGTTTGTATGTACACAGTCCAACTCCCACAGGCAGTGATCTCTCCCACATATGTGCAGACCCACACAAAGGCTGTATATCAGCCATTTGAAATGGAAAGGTTTGTTATTAAGTTGTAACAGACAGCAAGTCAATAGAGACCTTAGCTAAGGGACTCTGTGATGTACTAAAACACCATGGGCTGTCATTGCTGGGATCCATACCTGCATTTCCTGGGTGTAGATACAGTAAGCACAGGCATCAATAGGAATAATAACAGCATGGAGCCCTAACACTTAGTAATTCTGGATGCAGTGCCCTATACTTAAAACTCCTGCGTGTGCAGGGGAGAGGATATACATTGTAAAGCAGGGCAAGCCCATGCATTCCACTATTTCAGGAAGCAGCATGCTATAGCTTGGATTTTTCTCTGCATTTTCAGAAAGGGCTCCATTATTAAAGTAGTTGAAAAGTGTGCTAAGCCTTTCATGATCACTCTTCATAACATTCAGTTCCAAAGAACGTTGCAGTTTCTTGTAAATTTGTGTTTCTGTACTGACCAATGCTGGTGGACTCTCCATGTGATCACCTTTCACATCTTGTTGGATCAGCCAGAGATCCCACAAGAAAATGCCATGCACAGCTCATTGAAATCAGTGGAAGATGCTGCTTTGACATCTGAAGCATCACATACCTGTTGTGTACTTGTATTTAGCTGCCACCTGACAGGTACAGTATCTGAAATATAAGTACTAGGCAGAGAAGTCTTCTAGGTCCTTTTGGACTGTCTCTCGGTTCTGCATTTATTGGTGAAATTCCTTGATAGCGATCAAGCAGTGGTGATTTACAGTAAGGGAGAACTGAACTCTCAGATCTTCAGCCCTGGCAGACTTTGGTGACTGTCAGTTTTGAGAATTCTCAGATTTGGCTCACCAGCTCAGTCATATGTTTTCTATAAAAGATGAGAACACTGGAGCTCGGCCTGAAGCGGGGCAGCATCAAGTACTGTCATTGTTACTTCCCTGCTGTGTTAGATTGTTCTTGTACATAAATTCTGATCTTTGTCTGACAAGCCAGATGTTTACTTGCTGTCTTTTGTATTCATTTTATTTATTTACTTTTTTTTTTTTGGTATGTACTCTTATACCATATATAGTCCCAGTCCTGTCTGATCCTGTAGGCCTGTAGCATCTCCCTGCAGGCCTGTGGCTTTGTACCGGGATGTGGGACTTTCCACAAAGCATTACAGGACTGGAGACCTATGTTGTCCTTAAGTGGGTGGTTGTGGGTGTAGGCTTTTTTTTTTTTTTAGCTGTCAGTCAGAACTGACTCTTACTCCTGACATGATCCAGTTGTTAGCGAGAGCTTTCCTCTGAAGGAGGCCTCTTGCAAGCAGAGCCAACACCTAGAGCAAGGACTGGAAGCTGTGAGATGCAGGACATCTGTAGCAAATTTGGGCATTTGGCAGGAGTTGACAGGTGTCAGTACCTCATATTTTTCTACTTCCATTATTAGTCCTTCAACAAAGGATACTAAACTGCTTAAGAGATTAAGGCCAGAAACAAATAGGCTAGAAATATGGGTTCTTTTCACATTTATCCTTCTGTGGCCTGGATTTTCTGTCTATAAACTGAGAGATAATAGTGCTTAGCTTTGTAAAGTACTTTGCTCTTCTGGAGGGAAAGCTGCAAAACAAGTGTGAAGTATTATGATTTATTACCTCTGATTGAAATTCTTACACTGATCCTGTCTGCTTTTCTGTTGGTTTGGTGTTTCTCTAAATGATCAGGGAGAATCACAGTGAAATTGAGAGGCGCCGAAGAAATAAGATGACACAGTACATCACCGAACTGTCTGATATGGTACCCACTTGTAGTGCGTTGGCTCGTAAACCTGACAAGCTGACGATTCTTCGGATGGCTGTTTCACACATGAAATCAATGAGGGGCACTGGAAATAAATCTACTGATGGAGCTTACAAGCCTTCGTTTCTTACAGAACAGGTAGTGTGTTTTTTCACAAATAGCTGTTTTCTCTGGTTTGTGGTCTTCAGTGGTGTGAGGAAGTGCTGAGAGGAGTATGGTCTCAGTTTGACCCTTCACTGTTGAGTAGTAACTGGTACAAGCTAAATAACCAAGACGTAAATGAACACAGGTTTCTTGTGAGTTTTTGGACTTTATCATAACCATATGAGAGATCCCTTGCTCTGAAGCTGCAGAATGGACATTCTTGTCCATTTTCATGGCATAAGGTACTTAACATTGAGGTCTGTCCTTCTGAAAAGCAAATCACAGGCAGTCCATTGTCATTGGAGATGACTATTCATCTCTAGGACTGGATTCCTCCTGTCCTAACACAGTTTCTCTAGAAAAGATAGAAAGGAATCTGCAAAAATCTGCCTCTCCATCCTTAGTTTAAAGGAAGATTTAAAAAATTGTTTAGTTTCAATGCATAAGTTCTAGGCAGCTGAACTGGGCTGAGATGAGTCCCATCTGTAGCAGCTGAGGTTACATTTTTGATGGAGGAGGAGGGAACATGCACCCAGTTTTCAAAGAAAACCTGTGCTTAACAGAGTGCACTGGAAATTCCTACCACCTTCATTGTTTTTGAAGTCCAATGAGTGTAATGTGCATTTTTGTGGTCTGAACAGTATAAGTACTTACACATGTAAGTTATGGCTAGAGGTACTACTTCTTTCTGTTAGAGAAACAGCAGCTGTTGCTGACCTCTGAGTGTTCACATCTCTACATATTCTGGCTTTCCTGAAGTGTGCTTCTAGAGGGACTGACATTCAACTGGCTTTTGGTAGGGCATCTTGCTCACTTGTCCTTGCAACTTGGCTTTTGAACTTTACAGGATGACAGAGCTTATCTTTTGTTAATTATATATTCAAAGCAGTTAATTATATATTCCTTGTCCTCTGTATAGTGCAGCCATCTTGCAGTGAGAGTTTGTTTTGTTTTGTTTTGTTTTTTACTGTACTAAGGGATTCAGAAGTGATGTGCTTTCTCTACAGTAAAGAAGTTGAAGCCAGCAGAAATCTTCAGTCTGTTAAGTGTTTCTTCAGATGTGTTATCCATTTCTTTTGGGCTTTAGTAGAATTAATTAGATTTTGATCCTTACCTTATCAGGTAGTATCTGCCACTCTCACACCAGCCATGCTGTGCTATCTAACCTGAAATGGGGCTCAGGAAGCTCGCTATATGAGTTTCAGATGCAGTAACTCACTGCTGTATCCTAGTAAGCCCTGATTCTTGCTGAAGGCGCCAGGCAAGGGCTGTGCAAGCTTGTTTTTCGTGAACTGGGGAGATAGTTGTCATCTTTTCACATCATAAGTTTTCAAGCTCTGTTAACCAAAGGCAGTGTTTGTGTGTGATGCATGCAAAGAGCTGTTTGCATATGCAATTCAAGATATTGGGTGTCTAGACCAAATGTCTGAAAGTGAGGGACAGAACTGCCTTGATTTAAAGGTCTGTGTCCCACAACTTCTGATCCCAAGGTCGATTGGAGGCTCTGGGTGCTATGTCTCAGGCAGATATGTGGGTATCTCAGGCAGAAGTGATCAGGACAATGAGCAGGAGACCACATAAAGAAAGGGAAAGGGCAAGGGTGTTGCAGTCATCTTGGGTCTCAGAAGCTTTGTGTCCACAAGTTGGAAAAGGAAAGCAAGAAATAGTATAAGTTTCTTGTGTGATGGCTTGGGCATCCTAATAGGAGACGAGGCTGAGGATTCCTGTCGTTGCCCCATTACAGTTTCTGTCTTTTATCCACCGACTGTTTAATTTACAAACAGAACTTATCCTGAGGGGGAGAAGAAAAAAAAAAAAAAAAAGAAAACAAACAAAAAGTCTTGTTGTTTTCTTTCCAGTTAAATTATCCAGGATATTTAATTAAGGGATGGGTCTGCCATATGAGTTCTAGCCCTTCATTTCCTCTGTTTGTACTCCTAAATAACTTTATAAAAAAAAATATTAGATATCTATCATGCACCAGGCAGTGAGTTTTAGTTTATTTTCTTAAAGTGCATTGAGATAACCAAATCAAAGGCAATAAAGGAAAACAATATTGTTTGTTACTAAGGTCAGCAATTTATATTCTGCTGCTAATTTGGATGTTTTTTTTTTTTTTCAATACTACAATAAAAAATTCTCCCAACGTTGTGCTCATCTATTAAAGTCACAAGAAAACAATATTCTTTGGCAGTGACATATGTGTTACTTAATTCCTTTTTCTTGCTGGCCTTCTAATCAAATCCTTTCTTTGAAAGGAACTGAAACATCTTATCCTGGAGGCTGCAGATGGGTTCCTGTTTGTAGTTGCAGCTGAGACTGGAAGAGTCATCTACGTATCTGATTCTGTGACTCCTGTGCTGAACCAGCCTCAGTCCGAATGGTTTGGCAGCACTTTGTACGAGCAAGTTCACCCAGATGATGTGGAAAAGCTACGGGAGCAGCTGTGTACATCTGAAAACTCTATGACAGGTCAGATATATCTGATGTATGGTTCTTTGCATTATGGATCCCTGCAGAGTTTTTCTGACATTCAAATGCCTGTTGTTACAAATCTGGTAAAAATGGAGTTCTGCAAGATTAGAGTGCTTTTTCTCTTGCAGGCACTGCGGTAATTTAAGTCATCTTTTGCATCGCTACATTTTGTTTCCTATTTATTCAACTTTAGTCAAACCATGTAGGTCTACCTTTCAGACTTCTGGCTTGGGTAGGTTTGGAAGCTGAATTGTTTTCAGGCACAGTCTGGAAATCTGGATTGTTTTCCTTTCATCCTCAATGAACTTGTGACTTCTTTACAAATGTGTTGCTTTATGGCAGTGTTTATTTTGAAGGCAAAAATCATACTTCAGACTTTTCCATTTTCATAAAAGTTCCTTGTGGTTTGTTAACGGGAATCCAGGAAAAAAAATCTAGTGTTTGGCAGCTGAAAATCTAGTGTGGATTTTAAACAAGAGGCTTGCCCCTGTAGCAATGTGGTAAGTTAGCTACAGCTGACTATGTATCATTTGACACACACAACTAAATAATATTCACGGTATAACTCTGGTTTTTACAATTATTCACGCTCAAGACTTGCCAATAGGAAGCTATCATGGCTTTAATAGAATCTGTGTATCAGAGCTATGAGAAATAGCTAAATCCTATTTTAACTCAGAATTGGAAAGGGGGAAACCCAGCTTCTCATTTTATTCTTCCATGTAATACATTTATAGCTAAATGAAGAAAAAAAAAAAAAAATTATTTATAACTAAATCCTGATCGAGGCAAAAGTCATGTAATTTCTCCTTGCTTTAGTAATTCAGAATTCTGACCTGGCTTGCTGGAAGTTTTGTTGTGTTTCATAACTCAAAGGACAGTGATCTAGTTTAGAGTGAACCTGCACACTGTTTACAGCTTCCATGTCAAAACAGTGCCAATTTCATGGTTTCCTGTGGTTTGAATGTGATGTGGTTTTGGCAGAGCTTTCCCGTATTCATATTGGAAACTCAAAGCAAGATTCTGTGGTAAAAAATCCAGATGGATCAAACCCAAGAGAACATTTGGGGGAACCTGTGCAGAGCAAAACAGCTGAGTTTCATACCACTTTAAAATGTATGTGTGAGATTTGCAAAAGAGCACAATGACTGGTTTTTATTATATAGTATGCAATACATTTTAATGCACGTACCGTCTTCCTCTAAGAAGCAATTACTCCAGAACCTCAACGAATGGTCACACTTAGACTTTCTAAAGTGCTCATTTGGTACGTGGGCCTTAACCTGCTCAAACTGGAGCACGACTAGACAAACACAAAGTACTTCTGAAAGTCCAATTCTGTATTTCTTTCAGCTTTAACTGTAAGCTTTCCTTTTACACTTCATCCATCTTTAGCCAGTGGAAAGAGAAGTTCAAATAATAGTACTTGGAGGGCTAAATCTTTTTTCCTGTCTGACTCTTTCAGAGTTGTCAGATTGCTACAGAAGGCTCTTAAAACTGTCATACGTGGGCAGCTGAAAGTTTTCCTGGTGTGTGGCAAACAGCAGCCTGTTTAGAGCCAGGGTGCTGAACTGCACTCTTTAAGGTGTGCAGATAGGCTGGATGTAGAAGCATGCTTTTTAGGAACTGGAGAGTGTGTGTAACTGCAGATGTTTCAAGCAAGCACAAATAACAGTGCATAATTGGTCCTAACTATATAGGATACTTTGTGCAAGTTTTCCTTTGCAAACCTGTTGTGGTTACTTGCACGGTGCAATTTTTTTGGCTGCCTAAACGTCTCACAAGCCATAAACACAATAATCACCCCCGAGTAATTCTGTTTCTGAATCAAGCATAGGCATATAGTTGTATGTATCTCATGTCCTGTAAGATGATAATAGAAAGAACAAGTTTTTGAGGTGCCTACTGAATTTTTCTAGCTTTTTAATAAAATAGCATGGACCAATTTACATCATCATATAATCCTGCTCTTTTGTTTTAAGGATGTGACTGATGAAGTACATTTTTTATTTTTATTTTTACATTAACAGTAGTTTTGTCAGTCTGTGGAGCATATAAATAAAGCTAAAAGCTGTTTCAATTTGTTGTATTAAACTTGTATTTCCTTGACCCTGCAAAGTACCATTAAATAAGAGAAGCAGTCCTCTTTCAGGACTGTCAGCTAAGCATCAATTTGCTTTTAAGCAGCATACAGTCGGACTTCAGGAGCATCACTCATGAGCCTGTGCAACCAATTCCACTTCCCTTCCTGTAACACAAGCTATATTCAGAGTAGAAGCATTGTAACAGGTAGGAGTAACTGGTAGTAAACAGAAATAATGAGTGCCATAGTGACATTAAAAAAAAAAAAACAGTCAAGTAGGCAATGCAGTTCTTTTAAGTCAATGTTTACCTAACCATTTGGGCAGCCTCAAGTCTCTTTAGGCTTTAGAAAGTTATGTTTCATGCAAAAGAAAGGCTAATGCAGAGCTTGAAGGAGCAGCAAAGTGCAAGCCAGCCAGCTGTGCATTTGATTTTTTATTTTTATTTTTTAATTTTCTTACTCAAAGTGAAGGTTACCCTGAACATCAGGAAAACCCCCATCATTTAGTGGCCTCTGGCTGTTGAACACTGGGGCTACTTAAAGAGAAGGGATTTTCAGGTGAAAGAGTAATGAATCTTACAATTCTTAATTTTGCTTTCCTCCTCACCTTCTCGGGGTCCATTTCTCAACCCTGTATCCTCCTCCTTCAACCCTTGACCTGAGGAAACAAATACAGCATCTTGTCAAAGAACCATCACTTGCTTTGCGCTGGATCGGAGCAGCATCCTCTGTGTGTGTTTGTTCTTAACACCGATTGTTACCACTGCATTGCTGTGTTGTTTTTTAACCCAGCACCTCTTAGCAATCCCGTTATACAGAGAAGATGTTTCAGACCCCGAGAACTCGTAAGGCTACCATTGCCAGAGAGAAGTGACAGAATGAGCTGGTGGAGAAAGCAGTCTCCCTCTCACATTTCTGCCCCCAGGAATAAGACTGGGGCTGTGGTTGCATGAGCATTTCTTTGGCAGTCGTACCAGCTTATGCAATCCTCACCTCGTTTCACCCTCTATTACTTTGGCATTTATGTGGTACTACAGTGTGAGTCACATCAAGGAGGCTGGCCCAGCCGAGAGCTAACCTAAGCAAAAAAAAAACCAAACAAACAAAAAAAACCCACTTGATTTTAGTAGAGATACCTCTTTGGCCCACCTTATGATAGGGCTACTTGAACTCTGTGCTAGTGCAAAGGAGAAGCAGGGAATAGTTCCGGATAAGGAGAGGACAGGACTTCAGGAGCAATAAAAGCATATGCCAAGCTAAAGTGGCTCTTTAACTGCAGCCTAAAAAATATGATTTGTTTGCAGAGTTAATTGCTTGCTCTATTTTTAACTCTCAGGATATGGGGAAGGATGGATAGTTTCTATTTCATTTTATACCCTTGGAGATTTTATTTTTCCCTGGAAATGGAACAATTGTCCGCTTGTTTATTGTACATTAATTGCAAACACATTGAGGCAAAGGGAAAGCTGAACTGTATGTATGGTTTGAAATGCTCTAGAAAAGACAGCAGCTGAGACTTGATAGCAACAAATGGTGCTCCCAAGAAGGGTTTGCGTGTGTCATGGGCATGATTAATTAGAATGGGTCAGATATTCAGAGTAATAATGTATTTTCCCTTTTTGTTCTTGGAAATCTGCAGATGGGAAAAACAAATTACTTTAAATATGCATGAGGTCAGATCCCATAGTAGGATCCATTTGCAAAGACCTCTTTGTTCTTAGAATGCAGTGATGAAACTTGATGGATGTTGGGGTTCAGATGCAGGTTCGGGGTTGGAGGTTGTGAAGTGGTTGAATAACACACAGCAGAGTGGAATCCTAATGCAAGTGAGAGCCTCTAAATGGCTACAAACAAAAAATCTCTGATGGCCCAGAAGATAGACAGAATCTAGAAAGAGTTAAGTACGAAGAAAAAAAGCTTTTGAAGAATACCTCCACTATGTTTACGAGTTTATGATATTCAGCTTGGAGCTCCAGGCAGCACAGCACATTGTAATCTATATATAATGTCTTCCTTCCGCTTCCTTATACCTAAGGTGAGAAGAGGAACAGCATATAGAGTCCCATCCATGCACAAAACCTGCTTGAGACCCTCATGTTCAGAAGAAGTCTTTGCAAACCATTTTAGCTGAGTAGCTGAAGGATGCTGAAATTGTGATCCTGTGACTGGAAGGAAGTGATGAAAACCAGAACCTCCAAAGCTTTCATTTTCAAGTGATTTAAAAATGACTAAGTCGATTTAGTTGCTAGCTAAAAAATATTAATTGAGGTTACTTCTGGACGTGACTTGTATGCCAAGTTTAGTCTTGGCACAATATTTTATTGCCATATTTTATAAGTACAAAAAAATAGAACTTTATGACGGAAAAGGTGACTGACCACAGCAAAAGTTAAGCTGATAGGTACCTTTTTAGAAGAAAAGACCATTGTGCTGCAATTTGCAGTGGTTCATGAGTACTGTGGAAATATCACTCTGCATTAGCTGAACAGAGGTTTGGATTAAGGAACCTGTCTTTCAGAACCTTCAGGTAATACGTTTTCTGGTGGTGATGGTTCCATCATGTGCAGTTTTTTGTCCAGCTGCAAAACTTGCTGTAACCAAGCACAGTTTGTACACACAGCCACAAAATCTAGATGCTGTAGATAGAGTCAAATTGTCTGTAAAAAGTGGAAAAATGGTGTTAAATTCAAAAGAGGGCAATGCCAGAGACCAATGGAGAAGCAAAGTAAAGCTTTCTGTAGCACTGAACAGATGGGAAATGCTCAACAAACAGTAAATAACCATGTGAGAGACAAGAGTAGGAATAACTTCTCTTTGCAACAGATGTTCTTCCTGAAATTCAGCACAGGATTTTTGTGCTGAGTGCTGTCTTACGCCTCCACGTAAATTCTTCAACTCTGATTTCTGCATGATC